GCCTAGATCATTCTGTAAAAAAATAGTCACCATGCTATTGAAGAAAGATATGTTTCATTGCAGGTGCAGAAGGTATTATCTGATTTCCATTCTCCCACCCCTTCACTGTGCGTCAATAGATTTATATCATGGGATTCATTTTCATTTTATGTCTTTTGATTTACGCACCAGTTCTTTTGCAAGTAATTTTAATTTTCCCTTTTATGAGCGTGAGGCTCTGTATCAGTATATTCCTATATAAAATAAAGGAAATGATTATTTTTAATGCAGATTTGAAAGAAATATAATGGATTTGAGCTACAACAATTTCTCCCCATTTAGAGGAGATGAACACCTAGTCAGATGAAGAACATCATTCCTTGTATCATTTGAATATATCCTGTTTCCATGACAACTTGTGCTTACCAGCTTGACTGGTAAAAGAAGTGTTTGAATTCTTTCTTTGTTAAAAAAAACTTGACCAAAATACTGGGGTTCCAGTTTTTTAATTCCAATAATTTAACTCCAGTTCGGAACTATACCTCCTTTTTAGCATGGGCTCCTTTTGAGGGAAAGAAACCTAAAGGTCATTTGGGGAATAACTTCACCTTCAAAATAAAAGGAGAAGATTCACAGGCCAAATGCTACTGAGCATAGGAAATGAAAATATTTTTTGCAAGTTGTAATCATTTTCTGATATCTTCCAGTTATATTAAATCAACAAAGATGATGCAACAACTTATTAAGATGCTATTTGATTTGACAAAAAATGATTCAGTTATTCATTTCCATCTGGACATTGTAATCATTAGGCTTGTTTCCTCACTGCTAATTTATATCTTTCCTTTATGGGTGTCTTGTGACCTCTTACTGCTGAATTTCTGTTTTTGCAAGGAGTATGGTTTTATTAATGATTTTTCCCTCAGAATGAAAGATAAATTATTTGCATCTCTCTGCTTTTCAAAATATGAAAAAGATGATGTTATATTTTATTGGCAAGATTATGTTTCATGTAGGATAAAATATTTTAGTCCATAAGAGAAGAAACATTGACCCTTGGGCATTTGAGGAATGATAAAAAATCAACTCAAAGTTAGGATAATTCAGAGTTTAGTTCTGATGGATCTGGAAGGTTTTGAAAGGACAGAAATGCTTCTTTGCTATCTCCAAGATCGTGGCCAATGATAGTAAATATCTGTGGTACAAAACACATGAACAGCACACATGATGTAGGGGAGTTGGCCTGGGGAAGGCAGTATAGCAACCACAGTGTTGTTCATCTAAGTGTATATTAATGATACAAAAAAAAATGAAAATAACAACAAAAAACACATGAGCAGCATAATCTCTGGGGTACCATATCTATCAGAACCCCCATTAGAGACTACATTTTTTATGAGTCATAGTATGATCCATATGTACATCTTTTTCACTTCCCAAAAAAAGACATCATTCTACCAATAAAAACTAAGGAAGTTTTAAAGAAATACCATAACATGCAACTTAACATCATGTAATAATATGTAACAAATCAAAATCAACAGGAATAGGAGTAAAAAATTAACAGTCTCTTTTTTGAATTGGGAGTATTTAATTCCTGCAGATGGTAAAAGGAAAGAGATTAAGTAGCTGCTGAGGTTTCTTTGGCATAAAATGCTATTTGAAGGCATCTTCATGATTCCTAATGTAGCACTTTGCCCAATAGCTAGAGTTTTGATAATTTTGTGCAATTACAACTTTTTTTAAAACAAGTAATGTGGATTTATTTTAAAAATTGCTTTATTTTCCTTTTCTAATTGCCCTGATAATAGCTTCTCAAGTTTTGCAGTATTCAGCTCTTAAGAAGTCAGTGCCTTATAAAACATTTCAGTATATGCTTTAATGAATGTTTTCATCATAGGAGGATTCATTATCCAGGTATTTACTGAATATTCACTACATGAGCAGTCTTTATAATATTCTGTGAGGACTGCAAAGTTGAGCTCCCGACCCTCAAAGAGCTTAGGCTAATACGGGAAATAAGGTACAGGTAGTCATCTTGTAACATGAAACATTACCTTCAATTATTTTGCCGAGTACGGTGATATTCTCTGTATCACAATTTCTTATGCCATAAAACAATGTGATTATTTAAGCTTAAAAATAAAGCTTTGGAAAGCACAATGCCCTTCTCAGAGTACTGGGTTGCAGAATGTTCCCCCCAATAATGTCTGAGCTACAACTGAAAGCTTCAAACAGAACTTTATCCCTAAAGCAGCTCTTCGCTGTGAAGAAGTGGCCAGCTTTTGCCTTATCCCACAGTGCAAGCAGTCGCCAGCTTTCATCGGGGATTGGAGGCCTCCGTAATGGATGCAGAAATCCAGGTGGGACAGGCAGTGCTCTGTGGATGTGCTCCTAGCAGGACCGGCCATTTGGGTTTGAACTCACAGACTGTTCTTTGACTCAGTAGTTGTTGTATACCCAGTTCATTTCCTGAACATGTGCCATGAAGGAAATAATCCCCAAGGGAAGAGGATGTGCTCTGGAGCTGCATGTGGGGAAGATCTTGCCTGGGAGACCTGAGCGTGAGGAGACTAGTCATGCAGAGCAGAGGGAAGAGCATGTACAGATGCCTCGAGGGGGCCAGAAGCTTTCAAGGAGGAAGCAAGTGCAGCCATGCAGTTGGAAAGGCAGGAAGGATCCAGAAGGCGCTGACACCTGTTGGCCAGCATGGGAAGAGTTTGGACTCTATCCTGACCAGCAGTAAGAAGCTAGGGGAGCACTCTCCGTGTGACCGAATTGGTGTTTGGGGACGGTTGCCCAAGCTGCTGCCTGGCAAAAGGCTGGATGGGCAAGTGCTGGAAGCAGGAAGACTGATTAGGAGGCTGTTGTACTTGGCTGGGACTCAGGAGGGGAGGACTGGGAGTGGGTGGTACCAGTTGCAAGACCAGCGCAAGAGGTACAGGAGAGCAAAACAAGGACTCTGGCTAATGGATGGATATGGATGTGGAGGTTAGGACATCTGCACGGCAGGGTCTCAGTTTCCAGGCTCAGTACCTGGGAGGACTTCAGTCTCCTCGTCGTAAGCTTAACAAATGCCATTTCCTTTACCCCTTTTCCTTCCACTAGCAACCCTGAAGCAGACCTTCAGGGTTTTTACATTCTACTTCAGTAACACTGGATGAGCGCCCCTACAGTTTGCAAGGTGCGTGGGACATGTTTTTCATACACCCTCCAGCTGTCCCTGAAGGACCCGTGATACTATTTCCTTGTTCCCAAGAGGAATCTGGAGCTCAGCAATGTTAATAATTTCCCAAGGTCACAGTTCATGCAAGGCAGGATCTTGGTTAAAGCAGGGTTCAGTCTCACTAAAGCAATCACTCCTAAACCACGCTGCTGCCTCCGCCCGGCACCCACAGTGTCCCAGCAGTGTTTCAAGTCTCCCTCACCCCTCCTAGGACTGACCACCTGGACACTTGCCTTTGCCGGATGCTTCGGTCAGGGCCTGCTCTCCTACCTGGCGCCTTCCGCTCCCGGCATCCTGGGAAACCGAGGTCTGCCATCTAGTGGCCACTGCCTTCCTTTTTCCTCTGAGCTTTCAAAAGAAAGGAAACCGGGAGTTCCCACATTCAAATAGGCTTGCATATTTATAGAATCACACCCTGTAAACAGGAAACTTCTCAGTCTTAGAGAAGGAGCCCAGTAATATAAACATAGCATATTGCCAATGAGTTCCTCTGCCCATCCAATACATTTCTTATTATATGTGTATACACTTATACTTCCATATTCATCCCACTTGAAAGGAAGCTCCACTGTGACAGGAGTTCTTTGGTCTGTATTGCTCACTAATGAATTTCGAGAGCCTTGAACAGTGGCATTTGCATAGCAGACATGTAGAATAAATGAATACCTAACATTTACTGCATTTTTGCTATATACCAGGAACCTCACATGTATGTTTTCTCACTTAATCTTCATGATGACTCAGGAGGTAGGCACTGTCAGGATGCCCACTGCTCAGATGGAGGTGGAGGCACAGAGGGAGACGAAGCTTCTGTGGTTTGGGGAGAGCTGGCTCTCCACTTGGGTTTTCTCACGGTGCACGTTGTACCTCTCGTGCAAATCTGTGTGCAAGGCCTTGTGTGCATCATTACCATGGTTTCAACAAGAGGTAGAAGTAATAATGCCAGGGGCCCACTAACCATTCCTCTCCCAGGTTTTAACTTTATTGAGTGGAGTTTCCCTTCCAAGTGCTCTAACATAGGCAGTAAATGGAGGGAATTCAGGAAAGGCTGGCTAGCCAACAGTGAGACCCTGTCACTAGTTAGCTTTGTGTCTGTGTGACCTTGTGTCATTGTCTGCAAACCTCAGGTTCCTCATTGGTCAAAGGAAGATGAGTTAGCATCCCTGCCTTCCCTTCCAGCTACAATATTCTACTGTTCCTGACTCCCAGGGAGCCGGATGTGAGTGGAAGAGAGAGGACCACTTGTTACTAGGCAACCAGTACCCGCCTCACCCATGTTGCCATAGAGATGATGAAAGTTGGGCTGATGGGATTACCAGCTCCTGTTAATTGCATATGAAAGCTCAAGGTCTCTGTCTCTTTCTTGCTTGCTCTCTCGCTCTTACTTTCTCATTCTTCTAGGAACTGTGGAGAGCCCTTCTCTCCTCCATCTGCAGCGTCCCCAAGGCAGCCATAGTGTAATGGAAAACAACTGGAAATGGAGCTTGCCTGTGCCTCAGAGTAGCTGTGTGACCTTGGGCAGGTTACTCGGCTTCTCTGGGCCTCCATTTCCCCACTTAGAAAGTGAAGCTGTTGGAGTAGTGATCCCTGTCTGAGGCTCTTTCCGGCTCTCATATCCTTTGATGCCTAGGGAGCATGTCAGGGGAGCAGACCACACGGTTACTAGGCAACCAGCAGGCACCCTGCCCAAGTTGCCTTGGTGACTGGATGCTGGAGGGGAGGGGAGTAGCTGCTGCAGCTAATTGCTTAATTATTTATGAGTGCCTGAAGTCCTTTTTGTTGTTTTCGTTGCTAGGGGCTGTGGGGTCACCTTCTCTTCCTCCCTCCTGCCACCCCAAGTCGTCTGAGTTGCGTGGTATACAGTGGGAGAGCGTTGGCCTGGATCTCAAGCTACCCCGTTCTAGTCCTGCCTCTGTCATTTTCTAAAGCTGTGGCCTCGGGTAAGTCATCTCACCTCTCTGGGCCTCAGTTTCCTCATTTGTTAAAATGATGGGTTTACTTAGGTAATCTCTAAGTTCCCTTTCTACCCTGAAATTTGAATTTCTCTGTTCAGTTGCAAAGTGGGGAAGATGAGGGTGATTTTCCTAGTTTGTTGTCTTCTATGGATGCTTCTAAAGAGCAATTAACAATAGTTAAGTCTCTTAATATTTCAAACAGGAAGGGAATGAAAGTTGAGCCCATTGTTCTCATCTTGCCTCCCACCTTAGCATGTTGCCCGACCTCTTTTATTAATCTTAAAGTCATTTAAATTTTATTTTTTTGTATACCACCTACTTTTAAAATAGATTTGAGGTGTTTGCAGTAAAAGATGCATATGTGCAGTTAGGTCATTAAAATAAAAATAGGAATAAATTAATATGTAAAAATAGTGATGCTTCTTCATTGGAAGATGAATTCAGTCAGTATTAAATATAATTCTGAGCATCCTGGAAGACAAAGCAAAAAGAGAGGGAGATACATAATTGTTGCTCAATAAAGAAAAGTTGTCAGACTATTCCTAGTTCTAAATTCTAAAAGTAATTTATCATGTGGTACATACTCTCTTTAGAAACTGAAGATAAAACTTTAAAAATAACTGGTTGAAGTTTTTATTAAGGGACATAAGGAAGAAGCTAAACTTGATAGTTGGGCTAGTTCTAATCATGAGAAAGCAAAAATTCCCTTTCAACTTTAGACTTGTCTACTGGTACCTGTGACCTAGTAAATATAAATTTTCAGAAACAACCATTATTTATAAATCACATATAAATTAATGTAACCGCTTTGCACAGTAATTTAGCAATAGGTGTCACATTTTTAAATGTAGTCAAACATTCTACTTCTCCAAACTTATTCTGAGATAAACTTGTGCAAAGACATTAAATATAAAAATGCTTATGATAGCATTATTTATTTTTAAAAACTGTCCACAAACCACTTAAACCTGGTAAATTAAATTATATTACTTCTTTACAATGGATTACTTTGCAACCCTTAAAATGAAATGAGTCTATATGTTTTGATATGGGAAAAAAATCTTACATATATAATGTTAGGAAAGATAAGGAGGTACACAATGCTTATCTTTCTGTTATAGTTATAGAGGCCAGAGAGGGATTATCCAGAATGCTTTCATTTCTGTTATAAAAGATATAGATAGGTGCACATTTTATCTATCTAGATACTAACTTTTATGTGCATATTTACATATTTCCGGAAGGAAACTGAACAGTGGTTTCCTCTGGGCAGTAGATTGATAGCCCTGGGAAGGAAGGGGGCTTAATAGTCATTGCTTTAGTTTTACTGTGTGGACCTGATAGTTTTCCAGTTAGGGAGGCAGTGGAGCCTAGCAGTTAATAGCCTAGACTCCGGAGTGTGAATGAATATCTGTGTTCAAATTTTGGCTCTGTTGCTTACTAGCTGCATGACCTTGGAATTAATTTAACTTCTCAATTCCTCATCCGTAAAATGGGCTGATAATAATAATATGTTCCTTATTGGGTTGTTGTAAGGATTAAATGAGTTCTTAAGTATGACATGCTCAGAATAACTTAAACAATGCCATATATGTCTTTTCTTGAAAAAATAAGAGGAGACTTTAAACGAAAAAGTGCATCTAACCAAAAAAAGCCCCAGTACCTCAGAGCTAGAAGGACTTTATAAATATGTCACTGTTTCCAGCACTGTACGTTGTATAGGAATTATGTTTGGAGCAGAGATCGCCAAACTGTGGTCCTGTTTCCCCTGTCATTTTATCTGAACTTGAGTACCTTTAGGGAAGTCACCTCTTTTGGGATTCCTAATAGGCGTTTCTGATGCATGTGAAGCCCCTGAACCCATCTGGTTTTGCAGCTCCTGTTCTAGTCCACCTGCGTGAATGCACAGGCTAAAAGCAGAATGTATGTAGGTCAGGTAGCAAATCTGTGAGGAGATGAAACTACATCCACAGCTCTTAGAGGCCAGAGAGGGATTATCCAGAAATTCAAGCTTCCAGAGGACATCTGTGCCCATGCCAGTTATGACATGTGTGTTCACATGCCCTTGCATCTCTTCCTTCCTTTTGAAGGAGAATTTGACAGATACCTGGCAAGGGACCATGCTGGGAGGAACCCTATTTAGATCAGGAGTCATGGCCATAGGGAGTTCCTCTGTACTCAGAGGTTCCTAATGCAGAGGGCTGTGTGTTTAAGACTGCCTGATTTCCTCCTCCCTCCTGGAGGGTGCTTTGAGGCCAGCCTGGAGAACTTCAGCTGACTTTGGGAACCTTCCTTTGAAGTTGGCCACATTTTGGGCTGCTCACTGTGGACACATGGTGACCCCAAAGAGGGTGGGATGGGGGGTCTGGTCCCTTCAAATCTGCTGAGTTAGGAAGCATGCTGTCACCGTGAGGAATGCAAAGCTGACCCGTTACAACCTCATGCTCAGGTCTGTGGTTCCCGGCTTCAGTCTGCCTGGCCCCGTCTCAGTGCACTCTTGGCCATTCCAGTCTTTTTATCCATTTGGCCAGCGGTTCCCCTTGCCATCTAGCTGTCACATCCAACTGTGCTTCCATCTGCCTTTCCATCCCTCCAGCCTCCTCCTGCCATCTGCCAGCATTACCACCCATCCTGCACACTGCTGGTATTTCTATGCACCTCTCCCCTCCCGTCAAGTGCATCTCAAAGTCCATCTACTGGGCCATCTCTCCATCCCTCCATCTTTCTGTAGCCTGCCCATCCATCTCGCCGACCTCCCGCCGGGCTACAGTACCAGCCCGCTGACGGTCCCCGTTTGTCCCGACTCGCAGAGCCCTCTAATGCGGCCCTGGCCGCTGCTCTGCATTCCCTGCGGCCCGGCCATCGGTCCCTCTGCGCGCGGGTCTGCGCCTGTGCCCAGTGGGCCCCCGCCCGCTGCGGGCCGGCCTGCTTTTGTTCGGCGGCCCCGGGCGGGCCGTGCCCCCGGCGGTCGCGGCAGCTCCCAGGCGCGCGGGCGGCGGGCGGCGGGCCCGGGGCGGGGCGGGGCGCGCGGGGCGCGCGGGGCGGGGCGGGGAGGGCGGGGGCCGGGGGTGACTCAGCCGCCGCTCGCCCCGCGGTCCGCGCGTCCGCCGGTCTCGCAGGCGGGGCGGAGAAAATGGCGATGCCCCCGGCCGCCGTGCCCCCCGCCAGGGCCCGGGAGCCGCCGGGGCCCCCTGCCGCCGCCGCCGCCGCGCCGCCGCTCGGCCTGCAGCAGCTGTCGGCGCTGCGGCCCGAGCCGGGCGGGGTCCCGCTGCACTCGCCCTGGACCTTCTGGCTCGACAGGTGAGGGGGCGCGGGCCCGCTGCGTCCGGCCGGCCCCGCCGCCCTGCGCCCGCCCTGCGCCGCCGCTTTGTCTCGGCGCGGCCCCGGGCCCCGTGCGCCCGGCCGCCGGCCCGCTGCGCGGCGGCTCCGACCCCGGCCCGGCGCGCCCCCGCCGCCCCCGCACTCGAGCCCGGGGGGCGCCGGCCGAGCGGCTGCTCGGCGGCCTCGCCTCCTGCCGGCGGAGCGTGCACGCAGCCCCAAAAGTTTCGGCAGCACTTCCCCCTTCAGCCCCTTGGAGAGGAGAATGCCGGCGGCCGGCGGGCTGGCTGCGCGGGGCAGAGGGGGGGCCCGCCGGGGCCAGCGGGCATCGCCGTGAGCGGGGCTCCTGGGGAGCTCCGCGCACGACCTTCGCTGTGACAGCGCGCGGGGAAGTGGAGCAGCCCGCTGGGAGGTGTGCGGAGGCGGCATTAGGGGGGTGCGGCGGGCGCCTGCACCCCGTGCCCCACCGAAGCGGCCAGAGACACCTCTCTGAATTTTTTTCTCATCCACGGGGCAAGTATTTCTTGAGCGCTTACTGTGGAGCCACACGCCTGCTAGGCTCTGGGGATTCAGTGGTGAGCAGTACCTCACCTTGTGGGCAAAGTGGGGACAATACCAGCTCTCCCAAGGGACAGACAGCTCGGGTGTCATCTCCTCAGTAGTGCCTCTCTGACTACCGCATCTCAGTGGGCACACCCCACTGTCCAATTATCCTGTTCTGTACTGTGCCCTCCCTTGTTTTTCGCCCTGGTACTCAGTGCCACTGCATCCTATTCTGTATGAACCTGTGTGTTTTCAATCTGTCTCTATCCCTCAACACTTGCCCCTCTGTTAAAGGCCAGGGAAATGGGACTTTGTTTTTGACAAACTTGGAAGTACCCCAGCACCCAGAACGGTGGCTGGCACATATTGGGAACACAAGAATTTTTTGACAAACGAGTAACTAGATGATTGCAAAGCCCCTTGGTAGTCTCTGTCACACAGTAGGTGCCCAACGATGTGACACCTCAAGGTTGTCGCAAGAGCTTATGGAAATTTTGATGATGCTGTGTGCTTAAGTGTAAGGAGGAAATGTGGCAGTTTTCTGTGAAATTTACTTATTAGACACGTACTGGTCTTAAAAGGCCTTGCCTAAAATGCTGCTAGAGTTTTGTGTTTTTTTTTTTTTTAATGATAGTAACCTTTGCTAGGGAGATAGGCTCCTTCCTGTTGGAATTAGCACCCATCTATACGAATTGACAGTTGGAGCATTTGTCTTTTCCGGGGACACAAGGAAGTTGGAGGTGGGGTAGATAGAGTGACTCTCATTTTTTCAAAACATTTTCACTTTCGATATGGATGCTAAGAGAGCATTTTACTGTCATAACAAGAGTGGTTTTGGCATACTTGAGCCGAGTGATATCACATGTGTCTTTGTTTTCAAAGGTGTGCTCTAACTGCTGTTGTTAGCTGGTATCCTTTTCAGGGTGTACAACCGGGACCTCTGATTTAAATTGTGGAGACTGGTAACTGGTGAAATAGTATCAAGAGCATTTCTTTTTAAACAGGTCAAAAATCAGCCTAC